GTGTATTTATCAAAACAATGATTACTTTTCATTAAAAAAAATATTTAAATAGGCAACTTTACAATTAAGTAATGACAAATTTGAAATTTTCACAAAAATACAATGGTATTTTGGAAGTTAGTGTCATAGAACTTTATTTGTAGTGTTATTATCCTTTAGTTAAAATTTCAATTTTACCCTTATAGAGATGACAAAAATACTCTTTGTCTCGTAGTAACATTTACAAAATTGCCCCACAAAAATAATTTTTGTAAAAAAATAGACTACAAAATTAATAAATCCACCTTTCACAACTCTCTCTATCTTGAACCTTTGTAATTTGAACCTTTATAATTTTTGTAGTATATATATGGAAAACACTACAAAATGCCTATAGGTGAAATACTATAGTACTTCACCTACGACTTTATCACCGTTCAAAGTTTATCACATGGTTACAGATGTCTGATAGTGTTTGAATTGTAATATTTATTTTACAAGTCATAATGGTCTGAAATTTTGTATGTGTGTGCGCCTTAGTGAAATTCACATGAATAAAATATAAAACAAATAATTTGAATGAGAAAAAAATTATGTACCCCTATAAAGTTTCAAGGGTAATTTTGTTATTTTTTATGACTATTATTATTTAAATATTTTATTTTGGTGAGGATTGATCATATGTACACAAGTTCCAAATTTTCGATAAATCTTATTAGCACAAAAATTATAAAAATTCAAATACTACTGAAATTTGTGGCCGTATGATGAACTTTGGACGGGTATAAGTGAAATACTGTAGAACTTGCATGGTGATCCAATCACCTGGCTAAGTCTCGGTTTATTTACAAAACTTGTTACAAGAATACAGATTAGTATCACAGTTCTTTAACAAAGCTATAACATGATATAAATCTTGTTTTATGATAGTTATTACTATATTCTACTTTGAAGGACCTGGACAACTTCCAAATTGTGAGAAAATACATATACTCTAGACAAACAGCTTTGTTTTATCCCCCTATAGTAAAAGTCGTAACTTCCATAAATTGGACAAATGACTCGGTAGAAAATTGGATCAAACTCATGTACAACCAAAGAATTAATTTAAATGATAGTTATCAAGAAAAAACCAATTACTATACATGAGTTCCTTGTCAAAACCCTTAAGCATATCAAACTACAAGCAATAATTCTTATATAGACAAAGTTGTATGGCTATATCCAAGCATAGGCCAACTATGCATGTGATTTTATATGTGATTTGTCATATGATCTACTACCATACCCTACGTCTTGCCTTTGTTTTAGTAAGAGACACATAAACGGATAGATAGTCAGATGGAAAAACAATGTATGTGTACTATTCATATGATTTACATCATGGCTTACATCTTAACTTCGATTTAGCAAGAGAATAAAATGCATCATAAACAGATAAAAAATCAACCTTATGCCTCATTTTCATGCAACAACATTAAATAATTTCATGCAATAATGCTGTATAATATACAAGATGATAAATTCAATTTCCAAGTTGCAGCTTCTATCTAAAATAAATTCTGCAGCTGAATTACCGAACCCAATTGTACGTAAACTAATTAAATGACCTACCAGGACTATCAATGACATTTACAATGCGACCATCCTTTAAAATGGTCGATTGGATTTCGCTTTTAATTGTCACTCCACCAGATCGAGCTTTGGACTTAAAAGCCCTGCGGCCAAGAATGCTATTAGCGGTTGCACTTTTGCCATTTCCTATTTTCCCAACCAAAACCATTGTGATCCCTCCCATTGTGCCTCAAAAGTCCAAATAATCTGCAACAAAAGAAACCTGTCCATGTCAAAAAAAAGCTGAAAAAGAAAAAATAATAATTAAGCATACGCAAAATGCATAATCACGTCTCAAATACAATAAGCAGTATAAGAAATAACAGGCATTAAAATGGAAACGTCGACCAAATGCATAGGGTACAAAAAAAAAAAGGGTAGCAATTGCAAAACACTAGCATCCATCGCGTGGTCCACACTAATAGTCCAACTCCAACCTACCATAGTACAAAGGTATTAGTCAATACCTTATTTTCTTCATGATATCAGGATGCTCAATGAGCTGGTAGCCGATGTAAAATGGTACCCATAATTGATCACTCAAAAAAGATTTCCATATGGATTGGTGTACATATTTTAGAGAACAATATGCGAGTCCACTGAAATCAATCTACACAACAATATATCTAAAACATGGTCGAGGTTCAAAAAGAGGTCTAAGCAAATTGAGGGAAGATGATAGCGATATATAATGCTATCGACCAATCAACCATTATTTGCAATAATAGGGTGTAATATTTTATATTTCTTGAACAGTTATTAAAATTTCTAATTTAATTGATTTAAAGCGGATAGATTGGGTATTACTTTCAAACTTATGCATATCCTCAGATTTATATGAAACGGTTATTTTGTCTCCATATTTTGAAACCCAGAATATTGGCTTCCACATCATTATATATCAGCCAATATTTGGAAAATGTCGCAAAAATTGACCATATGCCAAAATCTTGACCCAGTACCCATAAGATAAAAAAATATGAAATGGTTTGCCCTTTTTAAAGTTTTGAAACTAATAAAGCCGGCCTTCACATAATGGCCGACGTATTAAAAATATCACAAAACCCGATTAAATACCCAATATTGGCCTAGGACTGATAACTGTCACAGTTTCATGACTGGCCAAGCCATAGCCAGTACACCCTCTGATAGATGCATTTCATAATGGACATTTAAAAGCTTGATGTGATTATAATGCATGATGAAAATTTTAAGGATAATTAGTTTCGATTAACTTATAAGGGATCAAATGACCAGTAAAGCAAATTAAAACAGGGGTAAAGTTTCCAAGATAAGGAAGCCAACACCCCTTGCTATTCAAACAAAACCATTGTCTTTCACTCACCAAACCCACTTCAAGAAAATATAAGAAGCCCGTATTGAAAATCTTCTAACTAAGAACCCAATTAATACAAGAAATTATGAGAGGCTCATATTGGAATCTACAAAATAAATATTCCATTTTGTCTGATAGTTATGCTCTCTAGTAGTAGCCTATCAAAACAATGTTCTAACATTAGACATGAAATCGAAAAAGTTAAGATTAATCCAGTGAGAGCAGCCAATTCACAAGGTCAAACTGGATTCTAAAATAAATAGCTTTTGCCTAATATATCAAATATCTAGACATATAAACACCACTATGTATACAAAACAAATGGAGCTGAAACATCACTCTCTAGTGGGACTAACATTTGGCGGGAGATTCTGTTATTTTGGTCGCGCGTGAGGGCTCGTTTGATTGCCTGGGTTAACTGACTCAGGTTTTGAATCAAAACCTTGCTATCCAAAACTTTAATTACGTTAAGACCTGGCTAAACATGATTGCTTTGGATGGCTTTAAATAGTACCCAAGTTATCCCAATCTCATGTTGGATCATTTTTCGTATAACCTGGTTTGCTACTGCACAGGGAGAGAACTAAAATTTTGAGATTGTTTCTCTCGCCAAAAAATTTGAGATAGCTCCTCTCTTTAACAAAAATTATAGGTTGTTTCTCTTTAAAAAATTTAAGATAATTTCTCTTTCTAAAAATTTTAGGTAATTTATCTCTCTCAAATTTGATATGGTTTCAAGCTCTAAAATTTTAAAGTCACTAAAACTTGAAATTTGATATAGTTTCACTCTCTAAAAATTTTGAGATAGTTCTCTATCTAAGAAGTTTCAAGTTGTTTCTCTCTCTAAATTTTGATATAATTTCTCTCTCTAAAACTTAAAATTTCAAATAGTTTCTTTCTCTAAAAAAAATTGAGATAGTTTCTCTCTAAAATAGTTTAGAAAATTTTTTTTAAAAAAATTTGATATAGTTTCTCTCTCCAAAATTTTAAAATACTTTATCTCTCTATGAGATAATCTCTCTAAAAAAAATTGAGATGATTTCTCTCTCTAAAAATTCAAGTATTTTCTCTCTCTAAAATTTAAGATACTTTTTCACTCTAAAACTTGAAATTTGATATAGTTTCTCTCTCTAAAAAATTTGAAATAGTTTCTCTCTCTAACTTTTGATGTAGTTTCTCTCTCTAAGATTTTAAGGTACTTTCCCTTTCTAAATTTTTAAATTTTGAGATAGTTTCTTTCTTTAAAATTTTTGAGATATTCTCTCTCTCAAAAATTTAAGTAGTTTCTCTCTCTAAAATTTGATATAGTTTCACTCTTTAAAATTTTACGATGTTTTCTCTTTAAAATTTTACGATGTTTTCTCTTTAAAACTTGAGAGATAGTTTCTCTCTTTAAAAATATTTCAGCAATTTCTCTCTCTACAATTTGCTATAGTTTCTCTCTCTAAATTTGTAAGATACATTTTCTCTCTACAACTTGAAATTTGAGAGAGTTTTTTTCTTTAAAATTTTTGAGATAGTTTCTCTCTCTAAAAGATTTTGGGCAGTTTCTCCTTCTAAAATTTGATATAGTTTCTCTCTATGAAATTTTATGATATTTTCTATATTTAAAACTCAAATTTTGAGATACTTTCTTTCTCTGAAAATTTTGATATATTCTCTCTCTAAAAATTTTCAAGTAATTTCTTTCTCTCTAAAACTTGATATAGTTTCTCTCTCTAAAATTTTATAATATGCATTCTCTCTAAAACTCGATTTGAGATAATTTCTCTCTCTAAAATTCTTGAGATAGATTCTCTCTAAAAAATATCAGGTAGTTTCTCTCTCTAAAAAATATCAGGTAGCTTCTCTCTCTAAAATTTTAAAAAACTTTATCTCTCTATAAATTTTGAGAAATCCTCTCTCTTTTGAAATTTTTTAGGTAATTTCTCTCTCTAAAATTTGATATTAGTTTTTTTTTCTAATATTTTAAGATACTTTCTCTATCTAAAATTTGAAATTTGATATAGTTTCTCTATCTAAAATTTTGAGATAGTTTCTCCTTCTAAAAAATTTCAATAATTTCTCTCTCTAAAATTTGTTATAGTTTTTCTTTCCAAAATTTAAAGACACCCTATCTAAAACTTGAAATTTGAGTTAGTTTCTCCCTCTAATTTGTAAGGATGTTTTGGTAGCATTAATTGTATTTAATAATGTGGGCAGCTCCGATTTGTAAAAATGATATTATTATAAGTTGTATTATATTATATTTCCCTCTTTCATGCTTACACAAATCATGATTCATGTATTCGGATCTATAAGATATTACCCGTCAAAGGCGCAATGTTTGATGCATAGCGCGGCCTTTTATGAAAATCTAATCTACAGCCTAAAGTCCAAATAATGAAAATAATTATATAACCCTTTGATTGATCATCTCGACATCGAGATGTATAACTATGAAAAGTAAAAAAGATTTTTAAGTCGTAGAAATAGTAGCA